GATTACGTAACTCGGGTTACTTGTAATGCGTTACCCCCAACACTGCTTATGTTTCTTTCTTTTTTTTTCTGTGTGTGTGTGTGTGTGTGAATAAATTACAATTTAACATATATTCACATAGAAAACAGTTATTTTAAATTGTAATAATATTTCACTATATTACTTATTTTGCTGTATTTTTGATCAAATAAATGCAGCCTCGGTGAGCAGAAGAGACTTTAAAACATTAAAATCTTACCGACCCCAAACGTTTGAATTATAGTGTATATACAGTATATTGACGTGGTAACATATTGCAAAAACATTTTCATCATTACAGCATTTAAAATTGAGTGTAGAATACTTACATTCACATAGTTGGCATTAATGTAGTCCCTTGTTTTTCCAACTTTGTCAGAGTTTTGAGAGAGTTTAACTCGACTGTGATCATCTAAGAGTACAAAAAAGACTTATTAGTCATGTTTTTTATTTATAAATCCATGTACATCTCTTATATTGTTATGGATGAGTGATATAACGTCTCATACAGGCCAGGATGTTAATGTATCTGTTCTTGCTCTTATTGTCTGGATGGTTGGAGCTATCCGTAGTGATGACGATGTCCGCCGTACAGCGCTGAATCTCCTAGAAGAAACATTTCATCCCATCACTGACAAAATCATAACTCAAAAACTATTCCACTTTATCATGCATATCTAACCATGCAAAGAGCAACACTGACATGTCAATACAACGAACAGAAGAATAACAACAATGCAAAAGAACAAGTAATAAGAAACACTAAAACAAAGGGAGATGTGTCTTACCTCGTAAGACTCTTTCAAGATCTAATAAGGGAGGGGGTGAGAATGCAGAGAAGCACAATGAAAGTCTGCGACAAACAGAGAGGCGCCAGTGCAGGTACATGAGGCACGTTTGCATGTGTTTTCATGCTACAGACAGGTTTAGACAGGGCTGATGCTCTCTGTGTGGGTGTCCATGCAGACGCCTGTACATCACCCTTTACATGCTGCCCCGTTGCACTCATATTCATGAGTTTATGACATTAACACACTATTTGATACGTTTATACTGCATAATAAGGTGCAATGCTTAAGTTCACGTATTTAGAAAAGTCAAAAAACTGAATTGATAAAAATCACAAGTACCTCAAATTTTTTGGAGAATGTGTGATTTGTGTGAAGATCAACAACGTGTTTTACGAATTCCTTTACTGGGAGAGCGTCATTGTCCTCTGCCAACAAAAAGGAAAAAAAAAAAAAGATTTAGAAACAAAAAAAACAAATAATAAATAGCTACTGAGGCACGAAACAAACAAACAAATAAATGACAAGCCATAAAATAAATAAATAATATGTGTTAATATTTATAGTTCATGTCAAGACATGAAAATAAACAAATAAATTAAAACAGACATTAAAACAAACAAAATGATAAGGCATGAAATAAATAAACAAAATGACAACATGAAAATAAAAAATAAATAACTTGCAAGGCATTAAATAAATAAATGCCAAGCCATTTAATAAATAAACAAATAATGTCAAGACATGAAAATGAACAAAAAATAATTAAATGACAAGGCATTCAATGAATGAATTAATGTCAAGACATGAAAATAAACAAATTAATTAAAACAGACATTAAAACAAACAAACAAACAAACAAACAAAAATAAATGCATATACAAACAAACAAACAAATAAATAAATGATA